GAGGACTCCAGCTCAGGAAGCCCACAGCGCTCTCTGCTGGAGACAGGTGGCAGATCTCCAGATCCCGACAGTTTCTGACTTTTTGGTAGAGACAAAAGTTCATAGTAGAAATTAAACCATTTGAAAAAACATCTATGCATTTCATCATCAAGCCTTTTTACTTTCACAAATAAATGTGTCAGATTGTCAAACTGAATGTTTTTTCTTTTCAAAGAAGATTCTAAATATAAACTGCAAAATGTAGGTTACATTCAAAGGGATCTAAAACCCTTTTATTGATATCCTGATTCTCTAATTATGGTCCAAAAATATTTCCCTAGAATCTTTTTATTGTTTGCTGACAGTGTTTAAACATTGCGAAAGTCATAAAGTACAGGCACTGTGGTATATTTTAACATCAACAAAAGGTCTGATTAGCTGACAATTAAGTATTTGATCTATTTAGGACATTATTTTTTATGCCTTTCTTTCTTCTCAGTCCTGCTGAGCATGTCAGAAAATTTCAGCTGTACTAAAAGCACTGAACAAAGTATGGACACCGTGTGACAATGAGAAAACCTAATGACACTGCCAATGTATTGATAGTGTCATTTCTACATTTTCCAGACATTATTCACAGCCTTCCTTCTCTCATTATTTTCCATTTAGCACTATGATTCAATTTTATTTGGGTGATAAATGTTGGACTGTATATGCACTGAAAAACTGTAGATGTGCACAAAATAGAAATAATAATCATAATCTTTATGATGCCAATTCTGTGAAACTATGCTTAAGAAAGATGAGGTTATTTGATTTCAAATGAAAAGAAAAAGTGAAATGCATGGAGGAAAACAATAATTGGGAAGGAAAGATAATAAAACAAAAAGTTGAAAATAATTCAGACAACATAAAAAACATAGTGATCAATTACATAGATAGATCTCTTGAATCTGTCTACGTGAAGACAAGGTTTTTGTACATTTGTGGTGACTTCAACACTCCTAGAAAAATAAAATATGTGTTTATAAACTTTATGTACAGTGTGGGCTTTTATCCAACAATCACAATTTTATCCAACAATCATAAAGCCACAGAGGATAGTTTATAACTGTTAGTCTGATAGATAACATAGTGACAAATACTCTTTAAAAAAAAAATATGGATAATGGGCTCCTACTAACAGATATGCGATCATCCACCTAATTTTACTGTTAACTATTAACTATTGAAAGAAAAATGATATCAATAGTTGTAGATATCTAAGAATTAAAATCAAAGGAAATAATAATTGCATAAATAAGATTATTTTGATTACATAAAATAGAAAAAAAAAAATATATATATGATGGAA